GTTTCGGAAATTCTAAAGATATGCTGTTTTTAAATACTTTGTGATTTTGATCTTGAATTTTGTGTGGTGCAAGATCGAAGAAAGTGATGTTTAATAATAGTTTATTATGTATTTTCTCTCTCTTTACCACATACATTCGTGGTGTAACGGTAGCACACTCGTCTCGTATTCGAGAGGTACAGATTCAAGTCTCGGCGAGGGCATTGCTCACTTTTCACATCTCCTGATTCAAAATAATCTAATGACTCTACAGTGGCGACCGAACTACAAGTTGGTGGACAATAATTCGTCACCTCCAGGATTAAGCGTTTGGGTCCCCTAATCCTCAGTCGCCCTTTAAAATGGGGAGTGTATAGGGTATTTTCTGCCTCCTTCCAGCGTGCCTTCCTGATGTAGCAGTAGCACACTCGTCGCGTATTCGAGAGGTCCACGTTCGAATCCCAGGAGGGCACTGCACATTTTCATGTCTCCTGCTTCAAAATAATCTAATGACTCTACAAGCTACAAAGACGGGAAAAAAAGTTATTGTAAATAGTGAGTCCAAGAGCAAACTGATAAACTGCGAACTCAGAAAGATCTTAAACAACCCAAATACACTTTCGATGCGATGTTAAAATCTGAAACCTTAGAATATTTTTATACAACATTTCTTACTGCGTTTGTTCTTTAAAAGAAAACATTCAAGTACATTTCAATTAATTCATTTTAATTACTTGTGTTGAAGTTTAAATCATATATATATAATCATACACATTTGGGTGCACATTAATCCTATCAAAACAGATAGAAAACCTTCCCTGTATTTGCGAAACCGAAAGCTTGCTAAAAAAAGTTTAAAAAAAGTTTTAAAAAATTTTAAAAAAAGCTTTTAGATCCATCGAATAGTTTATCTTGGCCGGTCTATTTTTGCTCGAAAAGTATTTTCCTCTGACACGTGCGGGGTTTAAAACACTTCAACATCGCTATCCTCTCTCGCAAAGAAACCCAATGACCCCACTCTTCGAGAAACCTCTCTCTCTCCTTTTTTTTTTTTTTTTTTTTTTTTTTGTGTGTGTGTGTGTGTGTGTGCCTCTTTTCTTTCACCCAGACCAAAACCGTAAAGACTAACATAGTTAAACATCAAAGCAAGATCAACTTCTGAGATTCCGCCTTATACGATGCGAACGCGTAATGCACTACATTTAAATAATTTATCAGTGCTTTGCCATGATTACTGTACCTGCATAACATTCGCATATTTCATATGCAATTTTCTTTTAAGGATTCAGATTGTAACATCGCACCAGAAGGTTTGTTAAGGTTTAATACGTTCTCATTGAACATCGCTGGTTACCAATCTGCTCTTGAACTCACTCCTGCTAACACATTTTTTTTTTTTTTTAGCTTTATTACTAAGCTTCATCTTCTTAGCACTTAAGCCACATGCAATTTAACAAAATCACAAAATTTTTAAACACAGCATTAAAAAAAATTAAAAGCTGCACATCTTAAGAATTCCCGATACAGTGTTAGGGGTTGCTATACATTTATGCATATTCGCTGTATTATTTCTTTAAAAACTAGCTGCTTGAGTGGCTAGCGGCCTAAAAGAGTTATCATAAAGGAAAAAGGTATGTTATGATTTTAATGAGTCCGTCTAGTATAATCTCATAAAAATACATAATATTTCCCATTAGCTATCTCATGATTTTAATGCATTCTTATTTAACGCAATCATATAGAGAAATAGAAAAGTATTCTTAAAAACTGTGTTTATTGCTTTTAAATCACTTAGTATGTTACTCATTAACCTTTCACATTTAATTTAAAAGTTATCTACTATATTATTCTTTATCAAATGGCAAAAGCCAGGGTACGTTTGTATACCTGTGGAAGTGACCTCTTTGAAGAAGTACGAACCGAGAATGAATGTTTTTGCAATGCCACACCGCACAGTCACTTTACCTTTGCATAAGTGAACGATGGTGTCTCATCTTATTACACGATGGTGTTTCATCTCATTTACACGATGGTGTCTCGTAAGGATTTTCGTCAGCCCGGTGAACGCAATTCTTGGAGTTTACGTTCCCAGAAAGGCGCCTCATCTGTCCACAATATCCGTAGACCACGTTCTGTCTTTTTCATATCTGATGAGGAAACAATTTCGCAAAGTCCACGTGTTTTTGCTCTTCTCTAGGTTGTAACATCTGGAAGCACTGGAATCGATATGAAAATGTTCGCAAACAGAGCGCAGAAACTTGAAGACTTTTCTGTACATCCCAACTGCGTGCAATACTTGTTGCAGCACTGCTTCTGTAGCATTTTCCCCGTTCAGATAAAACAGCTTTAGAGTTCACCTCGTTGTTTCCTTGCAAGTGTTATCTTGTTAGCACGCTCAAACACTTGATTGAAGAAGCAATCTTCTCACACTTCTTATTAAAAACAATACTTTACACATGGTGTTCTGTGCTTGGTGCTTCTACCGTCTGTCCCTGTAAAGTTACCCAAAATGCGTAAATGCACCTCCTCTCTGTACCTCTCTGTATTGGTCCTTCACAATACTTTTTTTGCAATATTTTTTTTACGCCGGCAATTTTCGTCATACGTGTATTCGTTCCAACGCCATTTAAGGTTTTTCATTGCGCTGATCAGTTTGTGTGCGAGAAAAAGGTAAGTGCTACTATTCGAAAATCACGAAATGTTTCACTGTGATCGTCAGATTTCGTATCTGTATATCTGCGTCCTTTCGAATCTTGTATCAGTGTAATAGTGTTATTTAGTATCTGTAAATCTGCGTTCTTTCGTTTCTGTATATCTGCGTAATGTCTTGCATTAGTATTTAGAATCTGTGCCTGCATTCGCATTTAATATCTGTGTAGTAAATAAAAGTGTATATGGTATCTGTTTATCAGTATATTTTAGTATCTGTGTATCTGTATCAGTATTTAGTATTTGTGTCGTGTGGAGCAGTGTAGTAATTATCTGTGGATTTGTGTAAAGACTTTCATTATTGTATTCGTACTTAATATTTGTGTAATAGTGTATTTATTATCTGTATATATGCGTTCTTGCGTATCTAATCATATCTGTATATTTGCGCTAGTATCCGTATATCTGTATATCTGAGTCTTTCATTAGTATTTAGAATTTGTGTATGCATCCGCATTTAATATCTGTGTAGTAAATAATAATGTATATAGTATCTATTTATCAGAGTATCTATATCAGTATTTGTGCAGTATTTATTTAGTAGTGTATTTAGTATCTATTTGGATTTGTGTAGTGTTGTTGTATTTAGAAGTAGTCATTAGTATTTAGAAGTAGTCATTAGTATTTAGAATTCGTTTTTAATATCTGTATACTTTGTAATAATATATTTAGCATCTATTTATCTGTATAATGTGTGCATTAGTATTTAATATCTGTTTCAGCATTCGTAATTATCTTAGTTTCCTAGTATCTATATTTTAGTTATTTAGTATCTTTGTAGCAGTGTGTAAAAGGTATAGGCTAATGTTTTCATCAGCATTATGTAGCATCTTAATAAACTCCCCATGTGTTCCTTGTAGGGCGCCGGGGGTGTTGCACTAAACAGTTGCGGGATCCGGACAATACCCGATTAGTCTATATGAGCCGCCCGGGTGTCCGAACGTGCTTTTACCTGTCAGAGTTCACCGAAAAGTGTATGTGTTACGGTGAAACACGGAAATCTGGAGAATGTCGACTTTCATCGGTGAATGTCAACATTCACATAGTCGCTTGGTGTATGTCCGAAATATTTTCCAAATACTCTTATTTCTGACTTACCGGTGAATATCATGTTGAACATATAAGAATATTATATTCCTTCTCCGTAATTCATTCGCGAAAAAACGCACTTGAGACTCGATAAGAACTTAAGAATATAAGAATTAAAACACACAGTAACATTCAAAATGAGAAAGGAAAATAGAAGTTATAAACTTACCAAATTATGTGATTAAATCTTATTATTGCAACAAAACTTAAAACTATTATGACACTTTGAATTGCACAAGAGGCCCTTGCTTTTACAACTGCATTTATTTGTGGAACACTTCCTTTTGGAATGGCAGCGTGTACATATACTCCTCTCTTTTCGACCCTACACCAGAGCATATCTGTGATTGTCGACATACACCGGTGAGGGTCCGAATGTACAAGAATGTAAAGAAATATTCGATCTTTCACCGACGTATTTGGTGAATGTTGACATTCTCCCGTGAAAGTCGACATTCTCCAATTTCGGTCTTTCACGGTAACATATGTACGCACTTATTTCATGCACCCAAATCTATTTCAATCCACGTTTTGTGGAAGCCCCTTTATTACCATATATGTATAGTGTTACTGTTAATAAACTCCCGATGTGGCCCTTATTGGACGCCGTGAGGGTGTGGCTCAACTAGATAGTTGCGAGTACCCGACAATACCCTATTTGTCATGAAAAGCCGTCCGGGTATCCGACCCTGCATTCACCTGTTCACCTGTAACCGTCAGAGTGAGATAGTTGTTGTTTAAAATTTCCACAGTATCGAACGCGTACCTTCAAATAACAATATCTGAAATTTCATTTCGATTGGGTGAGCGGATAGGCCGCTATAGGTTCATATATCGAGAAAGTTTTTTATGAACACCCTGTACATACATATAGACATATAGACAGAGTCTTCGATTTTTAACAACAAAGTATTTCAATCAAGAAACGAGAAATTGTTGTGGGAAAAGAAAAGAAAATTTTGATAATTATTTTTAAGAAAATTCAAAATGAAAGTATATAAATAAATTTATTATAAAATTTCTTGATCTTTTAAATTCATCGCTTTATTTTTAACCGTAATTGTATAGTTATTTATCATATTGAGATAATTGTTCAAACTTGTGAATATGTGAACTCGTGAATAATGTTCAAACTTGGGAAGTTTGTGATAATTTAGTACATTAGTTTTTTAAGACTACATATGTTATATCAAGCTTCTATACTCGTTTAATTTGATTTTCAGGAAGGGATGAGGTTAAAGCATGAAATTAGGCAGGTGGAAGCGCCGCATTCTCTTGTATTAAGGTAAGTAATTTAATTTCTCTTCGGACGAAATGGGAAATTTATTCAAACTTGTATTTAATATTTAATTTTTGTATCCTTTCATAATTTAAAATTTGAATCGCAAGATTCATCTTTAATTTGTGATAAAAGTTTGGCTTTGTAATTAAACGTTTTTACAATTTTGCTAACATATAAATTTGTAATGTATAATCTGACATCTGAACTTCATTTCTACAACCCTACTAGACAATTAGCGAGTTATCGTTATGTCTGAAATAGTACGACAAAGAATTGCCAAACATTTTTATTAAAGTGAACTTTTAACAAAACAAGTGCTATATATAAGCCACTACTTTTGGAGATTTAAAATAAGCAATAACAGGCAGTTAAATTTAAAGATCGATAATGGACGTTGACACAGTCCAATAGCTAAACTACAAGCAGCGCCGATCGTAGCGGGGGCGAGATGGTGCACATCATGTAAGCGGATAAATTTAAGGGCGATGAAATGGTTATCAAACAACAAATATTATATTTCTATAAAAATAGGGCAGCCAATTTTAATTTGCACGTGGGCGGCCGACGGTCAAGGATCAGCCCTGGCTACGAAGCTTGTTCAAATAATATACGACGCGTAAATTTAAATTATCTGCTGCGAGAGAATGCAAAGCCAGGATAATATCTTTTGGACAGAGCTAGTAGAATTTTAACAACGCTATGCGAGTGCTGGAAAATTCTTCTCTCTCTGAGTGAGATCCAAAACCATTCAGCTTAAATCATCTTAAAGCTAATTTGTATTCTGGAGAGAAATAGGAACAGAAGTTAAGGTAAAGATCGAAATCGTAATAATTGGTTAATTAGCCTACGAAACATTTAAACATTTAAAATAATTTTAAATGTTAGCAAAACATGTAAATAAAATACTGATAGCTTTTTGTAATTGTAATTTAATTATGAATAATTATTTTATGTTCAGTTCTATTGGCGTATTATTATATTACAATTATGTATGTATTGTAATTCAGTTATGTAGAATACTTGCACAGGGCGTCTCACTCGAAAGAGGGTCCTGGAAAAGCGTGTTAAAAATCTTTTAATCAAAGGAAACGAAACCAAATTTTTACATGACACGCCTTTATGTGTAAAAATAAATGAATGTGCATTGAAAAATGAAAGTGCATTAGAAGAGGTGATGGAAGTGATCTCCCCTTATCCGTACACACAGTTAAACATGGCGCTGCATGTTCGCGTGTGTCGCTGCCAGAGTATTGGGCGTCACTTCTTGCATTTCATGACGGACGTTCTGATACAAATCGTCAATTTGCGGGGTTTGTCCTTGTAGGCATTACCTTTAAGACAATCTCACAGAAAAAACTCGGTTCCCAGACAAAAGCCCGCTGGAAAAAGCTCCACGTAGCATATATATCGGTGTTGGTTTTTGTCAGTGTGGGCTTTTATTATCGCGGGCTTATATCTATTTGGTCTTTTATCAATGTGGGCTTTTATCTGCGTGGGCTTTTATCAATGTGCGCTTTCATCGGTGTGGGTATTTGTCGCGTGGGCAATTATCACAGTGGTGTCTTTTTTGTGGGCTTTTGTCACGTGCGCTTTCGTCCAGTGGGTTTTTGTCCGGTCACCAAGAAACTCAAGGGAGATCAAATCTGAAAAAGTGATTCCACAGCGTTCATATTCGCTATAGATGTGTGGCATGTTGCCCCATTTTGCTGATAAGCCAAGTGTCAGCTGCTCATCATCCAACTGGTTCACAAATTCATGAAAAAAGGTGCCTGGTATACTTCAGTGGTGACAATATGTAAAAAAACTGGCCCATTGATGCACCGCTGTGGTTATGCACAAAACACACCCATCTTCTGTGAAGGAAAGGGCTCCTTGAGGGCTGCATGTTGGTCATCACTACTCCATAAATGTGAGTTTCCTTAGTTCACGTATCCTGACGACTGAAACCACGCTACATCCCTCTACCACGTGTAATCTGGGATGCATACATGATAATGCAACACCGTGTACCTCCCAACTGTGTATGCAAGTGAGAGGAGGTCACTTTCAGCACCTTTTCTAATGCACTTTCATTTCTCAAACATAAAGGCATGCTATGTAATAATCTGGTTTCATTTCCTTCTATTATAAGATTTTTATCCCACTTTTTCCGGTGCCTGTTTCGAGTGGGACACCCTGTATAAACAACTATTGCATTGTAATAATTTTTCATGTTAAGTCATTGTGTATGTTATCTGTAATTTAATTATAAATAAATATTGTAATTATTATATATTATTTATTATTCATTATTGAAAATTAATCTATTATTATTATAAATAATTATTATTTGTAATCGTAGTTTAATTATAAGTGCAAATACAGTAAGCGGTTAACAAGAATGAAATTTTTCGTCAGCAAAAGAATAAGGAAAATGCCTCTGGCATTCCCAGAATCTACAGTTATAAAGTATTTCTCCCTCCTTCTTAGCACGCCTTCGTAGTGTAGTGATCAGCACGCTCGACGCGAATTCGAGAGGTCCGGGATTCGAGTACTGGCGAGGGCATTGCGCATTTTTCATCTTTCTTGCTTAGAAAAAATCCTAACGTCTCTACAGTGGCGTCCGAATTAAAAAAGGTGGTGAATGATGATTCTTCACCACAAGGGTTTGGCGATAGGGCCCCCTAAAACCCCAGTCGCTCTTTAAAAGCGAGAGTATATAAGATATTTCTCCCACCTTCTTAGCATGCCTTCGTGATGTAGTGGTCAGCACGCTCGACGCGAATTCAAGAGGTTCGTGGTTAGAGTCCCGACGAGGGCATTGCTCATTTTTCATCTCTCAGCATCAAAAATCCTAATGTCACTACACAGTAAACAAAGTTTCTTCATGTTTGGAACAATGTTATATTTGCAGAAAAGTCAGAATTTAATGTATTTGGATCAGAGAGACAGACTAATATACGGTAGAAGCTGAATTAAGAATTAAAATCAAGAAACTTATTGCCTACTGTTACATAGGAGGGAAGAGGAATAATGATTTAGAAGTGCTTCTCTGAATCTGGGATGCGAAATTTAGTGTTTATTGAAAATAATATGGATTAGTATAAATATTTAAATATATAAATCTTCTTGATGAAAATCCTTAAATATCCACTTATGATTTTATAAAATATCACAAAATTACCAAAACTTCTAAATATTATCCGAATTTAAATCCTATTGAACATGCCTGGGGGAAAATAGAAAAAAAAAAGAAGAAAACTTTTTTTTTTTTAAATTTTTTTTTAGCAGTTTTACTAAAAGCAAGTCTTAGCAATGGAACAAATGGAGCAGTTTTACAGGTAAAATTAGATGAATCCATGCCAAAATGCATGAAAAGTGTCATTTTAACTAAAGTATATCCAAACAAATATTGAATCTTCCTTTCCTTTCATGTTTTTGTCAAATATAAACTGTTTGTTTAAAGTGCCAGAATACTCATGTGAATTTATTTTCGGAATTTTTCGAATAGATTTTTTTTAACCAAAATCATCTTGAAAAATATTTTTTAAACCAAACAAGTTTTAAAATCGATCATCACTAGTAAATATGAAAAACATAAAGTTTATTTTATTAATATTTATTAATTGATATATATATAAATAAACTGAAAAACACAAGTGTCCAAAAAGAAGTGAGCCACTATAATTTTGAAAATTGTCAGTTAGTTTAAGGTGCAATCAAGAGTTATACTTATATAAAAAAAATATTCAGAACATTTTTATTGTAATATTTTATATTTAATATGGGAAATAAAAGTACATTTATTCATAGTTATCGACTAGTTGTTTTATAGAAACTTCTTTGTTGTTATTAATTCTAAATCATTATTTATAGCAATAATTCCACAAGAGAGATTGGAGACATAATTCTGAAGTCTGTTGATAAAGTTTCGCCGGAAACTTTAAGCCACAGGTAACTAATTATTTTCTTCATTAAAAGTATGTAAAAAATTGAAATACAATTTTATACATTTATCTCTGTTGATAATTATTGTTGCGTGCGTACGGATTCGCAATAGACTGAATGCACAAGTCCAATAAAAAGTTAAAATTTATTCTTATCACAAGAAATACAGCAAAACCCTGGAATTTTCTTCAGAGATATTCTTACAAGTGTTCACAATATCAGGCACTAATAATTAGTAGAACGGAAATAAGTTAAATATAACGCAATTCCACCAGTAGTTGCACTTTAAACTACTAAAAATAGTAGTTTACTACTGAAAACTAACTACTATTACGTTGTTAAAATATAACGCAATACAAAGAGAAACCTAATCCGATCTCTCGCCGATCTCTAAGCAGCTAACTAAACAATTACTCGCGGTAGCAGTAGCTAAGCAACTGAGCTGAGCTGTTTCTCTCCGACTTTTTAAAGCTTTCAATCCTTCGCGAGAGAGTTCTAGTAATTTCTTTGCTTCTCGAGATTTCTGGAAACTACCAAGAGGACTACGGTTATTTTCTTCATTAAAAGTATGTAAAAAATTGAAATACAATTTTATACGTTTATCTCTGTTGATAATTATTGTTGCGTGCGTACGGATTCGCAATAGACTGAATGCACAAGTCCAATAAAAAGTTAAAATTTATTGTATTAAATTTATTGTATTAAAATTTATTGTAAATAAATAGTCAATTACATTTTTTCAAATTAAATATAAATTACCGAGATAAACTTTTATACAATGTTTAAATGCACGTGCCACAGTATTTTTACTTTCTCTAAACACTTTCCCTTACTCTCTTTACTTTCCTTTATTTTTACTTTCTCTAAAAATTTGTCACCCGCTGCATTGCACGGCGAAATAAAACAATTTTAATTATAATTCTACTAAAAATATCTAACTAAATGCAAAATTCGTAACAATATATATGTACGCTCTGCACAATGAAACAATTCGGGACAGTTCTATATCTCTCGTTCTATTGGACCGATTGACAAAATTTAACTTGCACTTTTCATGTCTCAGAAGCGTGACTTAAAATATATATTAGATTTATATAAAGCAAACGTTCTACCATAGGTATTTTGACACAAATCTGGGAGTTTTCTGAAATGGCATACCTATTTTTCCTTATTTAGATTCTACGATTCAAATTATGCCAGAATACCAACTTTTGTAAAAAAAATCACACAAGTAGTTTTTAAAACATTAGCAAAATGTTAGCTCCTCAATGTTGATTGAATTTGATATATATATTAAATCTCTTTTTGATTAAAATTATTTGATTCCTTCTTTCACAATACGAAAGGTTCAAATAAAATTCGCAGATACTTTCTGATTTGTTTCTGAAATGCGTACTTTTATTTGTAATTTCTTAATTTTTCGAAAACATTTTCAACCTATAACAACATTTTAATCTCCAACCTGTAACATTTTTACCATCACCTTAAAGTAGATGTGTTTCTCGGGATATCTGCAAAAAAGGTTTTATTAAAAATTTCCCGAGATATACGCGAATTTATATATCGGCGTATAAATAAAATTTGGCATATATATTATAAGCAATAATAACGCCAAGTATGGTTTACATTCTTTATTAAAAGTATTTGAAAAAATTAACAATGCACCTTTCGTTTCGCTCCTGCACAAGGAATGGAAAGTAAGTTATTATAAATTAAAAAATTCGCCAAGCGAATCATTTTTGACTCAAGCCAAGGTAAATTTTTTAATTTCTCAATAAATTTCTCTCCAAATGTTACAAAATTTAATATTTAGGCATAATATGTGTCGTAGAATCGAAATATGGAAAAATATTCCGTATTTCATTTCAGAAAAGTCCGTTTTTGTATAAAAATACTTATCTTAGAAGAATGCTATATATAAATCTAATATATATCCTAAGTCGCCCTTTCGAGTTATGAAAAATACAAATTAAATTTCGGCCCAGTAGGATGGGAATATTAAACTTTCCCGCCTTTTTTTTTTTTTTTTTTTTTTTTTTTCCATGGTGTTTGTGTGCGGGTGATAGTGTTGCTTTTATATGAGAATTTTTACATTATTAGCAGTTACAGATTAATCGTATTTCCTCGCGTATTCTCAACCCCCACTTTTTTTTAACTGATTTTCCAAAATCGAGAAGGGAGAATTAGGTGAATATTTAAATTCTAAAGGACACGGTTACAATAAGAATATAACAAAGGAAAAGTTGTCAATGATAAACTATCGAAGTAGCTATCGAAATATTATTTGTTTTAAAAAAAATTAAATTCCAATAAGAATACAAAGTAAAATGAATATTGCAATACCTAATAAAATATCTTTATTTTTATTTCCCAGTAACTTGAATCGCGAGCGTTCTTATTGTTGTCTCTGCTACTCCTTAAGCCTCAAATCATACATAAACAATTAGAGAAAGTTAATGTGCATCCGACTCACAGAAATTGAATTTTGTTTGCGTGCTGTGATGGATCTGTTCGTTTATTAATCTGGCATAAAGTTCAACAGTTAGAAGAGAAAGGTTCGGCACGACCTTTGCAGATAATTTGCATGGAACTGTCTTTGTTAGTAAGACGAAAACGATAACTATTTGGACGCATCCATTTTTTTTTTTTTTTTAATTTAACGGAGCTAATTCTCTAAAAATATATTGAGAAAGGGAAAATTACCCGAATATTTCTAAACTTTAGAACTGGTCGCTAAAAATCTAGAGAAAAACCATGAGAGAACAAACAAGTGTGTGAAGAAATACCGTACATACAGGACATTCAGTTGGACTGGAAGGTACTTATGCCGATTTACGCCGAATTACGACTACATTTTCAAAGTTTCAACTTCGAAGTTTGTGGTTAGCTAGAAAATAATTAAGCCAATTGCCAGCTGTGAGTAGCTCAATGAATAAGAAAAACTTATTTGTGGAACAGGAAGATCTTGGATTTAAATCCTAGCTAAAACTAAGACCTTTAGAATGACCTAAGTACTCCGAATGAGGTCGAATTCTTCAAGAATAAGAAACCCCTTCTACCGTCGTTAAACTTGGCTTAAACCGTTAAGCTATAAAAATTGCTTCTGCTGGCAATACTGTTCAAAAGGTGAAGAGAAGAAAACATATGCATTAGAATTTTGATGACAAATTCATCTATTTATACATAATATTTATATGCAGTGTATCAAATATGTTTTACGTAAAATGAAATTCTTGATTTCATGTAACAACGTTTATAACGTTTCAAGAACTTGACTACTTCATAATAGCAATTATCCATTTCTAAGTATGCTATAGCGTTCTTATTTAGTTAAGTATTAATAATTTGTATGATTACTTTGTACCCGATAAATTTGGTTTTTCTTTTGGAAATGCTACTGTAAAATTCTCGTCAACTAAATTATTAATGTAAAGTGGGCTGTAATGTAAAGTAGGCCCTGTGAATTTTACTTACTTCTTTTTTTAAATCCCAATAAAACTGCTGCCCTTTACAAAATTCGTGTTTATACACTGACTACCAATAAGTATTTGGACACCTGTGATAGAAAAGAAAAACTAACTTTATTCAAAATCAATAGTGTAGAGCCTCACGAGAGGTAATTACAGGGGACCCCCGGGGCATACGTCCGCAGTTTGTATGACAGCTAGGGATTTTCTCACTCGGTTGGAGAGACATAGAAGTTCTTCACGATTTTGCACGGGTAGGACCCCTGAATTCGGCATGCATCGTCTTAGAGTCTCGATAGGGTAGGTCAGCAGTCTTCGATGCTTCCTGGCCTAACAATCTTGGTAACGTTGAAACTGACAACTGGTATGTCGTCCTGAAGTAACAGGGTGCAACCCGTAAAACTGCCACACGTAGGAAGCAATGTCATCCAAATAGTTTTGCAGTAGGAATCGGAGTGCCTTACCATGAATGGGACTAAGGGTCCAGCCCATACCAGGAGAAACACCCCGACCAATTCCCCTCCGCCGAACTTGATGTGGCACATGCATTCTGGCGGAGACGTTTCAGGTAGGACGCCAGACCAGACCTGCCATCCGACTGAACGGGTAACCTTGAGAGTCACTCCAAAGAAACCGTTTACACTTCTACGGTCCAATTTCGATGTGCTTGCACCAATTAACGAGCAGCGCGGTGGACTTGTGATAGAGGCTTATGGGCAGCAGCACGACCGTGCAAACAGCAGATGTGATTCCTAGGCGGTATATTAAACAATATCCCGGATGCATTGAAATCCTCGGGATGAGGGCCATCGGTGGGTGTGGTCTTCTTTGACAGCATCGTCGGCTCTATTCCCAGTTCGTTGGTCTGCGACTCGAGGACATTCCGACAATCACGCTCACTTTCCACTGTTAATATATAAGCCCACTGTCGAGGGGTATTCAGATCGCTGATATGTCCCTTAAGGATCGGCCACTTGTGATACCGATAATTATACTTTCTCAAAATAGAGAGCTCCGACGCAAGGCATCTTGCATGCGACTAAAGCCGATGCTGTTTCCTACACGATATATACCGGCGGAGTCCGTGACGTACCTTAGGACCGCAGATATCATCATTTGCATAGGTGCCCAAATTTTTATTGCTATTCAGTGTATTACAGAAATAGTACGAAGTAATTTTCAAACCTTTTGTTTCCAAATGTCAACGAAATTAGTTCTAGAAAACAACTGCCTCAATATGTCAGAGAAGATATTATAGCATCCAGACTACGAATTTGCAGTTTATAATGCAAAGTGTTAATGTGTATCAAACATAAATATAACGTTGTAAAACTAAATAGTTTTGGAAACTGTTAATCGCTATTAGTTTTACATTGAATTTTATTAGTGGAATAGGTACTTTCGGAGTGGAATTCGTGTTTTGATTGTAGAAATAATACTTTTGATTGCCAGCAATAATATGTAATTTTTTCTAAAAATGTTTTGCACTTTTTAGTAATAAATTAAGTAATTTATGCGTTTATATTTTGCGCGCAAAATTACCTCTTTATATCCGCAATATACGAGTAATGTAAAGCTCAATATCTTTAAATCAATTATTAATTTAAAAATTATGTGAATAATCACCAAAAGAAATTCGGAATCTTACTCATTTCATTATTTACTTTAGGTTGCAAAAAGGATGGCAGCATCTCCAGGAATGTCCAGATCCCTTCAACAACAACAACAATCCCTTAGACTTCAACGACAACAACAACCTCGATGACGTCAGCGTGGCTTCTTCTGCAGAGGTCAACGCTTCGTTTGTGGATGGCGATTACAGAGCCATGTCATCCGATGAGAGTGGGTCAAGTTCGGAAGATGAGAGTAGTGCGAGTTATAGCGATACAAGCCCATTATTGGATGTGAGCAGTTTGGGAAATAGCGATGTCAGCCTGGATTCAGATATGTCAGAAGACAGTAGTAGCAGCAGTAGCAGCAGCAGCTCTGAAGGCAGCATACTTGAAAGCTGTAATGCTAACAACAACAATGGCGAAGATGAGGAAGAAGATATGGCTAGTCTGGATGCAACTTCAATGCAGTCGTCTTGGATGTCTTTCTCGTCCGCCGCGTCATCGCCTTCTGGCTCAGTTGCACCGCCACGTGGCCAAGTTATCCTTCCGGATGTTCTTCCTGTGGGCAAGATGCCTAGAAACGACGATGATGAACCTATGTTATGCGACAATAATACCTCAGCTTCCCTCGTAGCTACAAGAAATCTCGAGATCACTTTTGGAAAAAGGAGAACTGCTCAGGATGCGGGAGCCTCTAGAATGTCTGGCGATTGTTGTCTTGTTGAAATCACAACCCAGCCCGATGTTCAGGTTGATATTCGAGTGAATCCAGTGTCATCAAGAATACACAGAGAAGGTAAATCAAATATGGCCGTCAAGCATGGAAATACTTATCCGCGAGAAACAAAAAGTAATAAACGATATTTGAAGAATAGAGATTTAAACTCGTGGATAGTGAATGATTCCTTCGATGACCATTATGATGATACATCAAAATACTGGACTTTAGGTGAAGGAATTCGCCTGAATAATTTTACCATCGTAAATGGATTCAAAACTCTTAGTCTCACGGAATTAGTCAATCCTAACACAAATGAAAAACAAGAAACTATACCTAAATTTGATTACAGGAACAGAAGTACCACCGGAAATTCTAAGCCCTCAAAGCCAAATACTTCTCCACCTTTGACCAATAGTTACCAAAATTTTGAGCGGAATTTTTCTAAGCTGCCGGCGAATGTTCACATGTGTTGTAAAGATAACTGGCGATTCCAGCGGGATAATAACAGTGTAGCTCTTAAGCATAAAACGCCAAAGATGGAAGAATCTACCATTAACAAGAGCAGTTCGGTCCCATCGAAACCTAATATCGAATCTTTTGTAGCTAGAGTTGGCTCTCAAAACACTAGGAGCATTGTTCCTAAAGATACTGTGGTGGAAAAAACGAAACAGCATATTACCACTAGGATTTCAGGAATGGATAATAACTCAAATACGCTAATGCAAGCCGAAAAGCCGCCTAATTGTAAAGATCTTGGCCGGAAAGAAGCTACATTCTACAGTTCAAAAACGAAACCCAGTGACAGTAAACTGTCATCTCCTGAGTTGTTTGAAGTTTACACGATGGAAACAGCTATACCTTACATTAACTGGGCAGCTATCAATAAACCTAACAGAGAAAATGATTGGATTAGGAAGGTAAGGGTAAGGTTTCCTTTTCTGTTTCCATTCCTAATCTCCTGAACAATGCTATGAATATGTATGAAACTTTAATATGTTCTTTTACTGAATGAGATAACCAGAAGAATGTTTTCAAAATGTATTACAGACTTAGTTTAAATACCTTTACTGAAGATAGGGCTGGTGTCTATTTGTTTTCAGTAACTGGGTTATGTAAATACGTCTATAATACTGTAAAATTGTCACTTTTGCCATTTTCAGAAATTTCCTCACTGTATTCTTATCCATTTCTCAGACAATAACATCTGTTACAATGGTACAGGTGTTATGGGTTGTTATTATTCTTTCCAATTTTTTAATGGACTCAAGGAAAGTTAAGTGAAATGAGATTTTCGGTAGGATTCAAACAATTTCTCTATTGTCCATCTCACAGACATCTTTATGTTGTGCAAAAATTTTGTTATTTCTACGATGCGTGAGATGTTCAAAAATATTTTGTCTGTGATAATTCTTGTTAATATTAAAAGCTGTCTGTGCTTCATTGATATAATAATCATTTCGTTTGAACTAAAGCATTACTCTTAAAGTAATCCAGGCTTGAAAATTTAAAAATTCTAGTTGAAGATCTTAAAACGACTGTTGTTTCTTAAATTTTATCGCAAATGAATTTTGAGTTCGGAATAAGGACCAATTCACCAATATTCCATGGATAAAAATATCTTAAAGCTTTCCTTACATAGTAGTTTTAATATAATAAAATTTCAAAGATTTAGTTTCCTTTAATTCTTAATTAAACTCTCAATCTGTCATATCATTAGATTTTTCTTTACATTTTTACTGCAAGATTTCCCTTGGGAACACATTACTCCCATCGCGCTTTTACTAAGATAGGATAAAAACAATAATGAAAGCTGCCCAACCGAGACTGTGGTTAGTGGCTCTGACTGCCGTACCGAAGGGCCGGTTTCGAATCCCGGAGAAGGCATGGATAATACATGCCGGAGAAGGCATGTATAGTATTTATTGGGACACTCTAAATATGTGGCCAGCCGAATGTCCTCCTGTGAGGCTTATGCTAGAAAAAGAGGGATGGGATATCCTTGAACCCGTCCTGCCAGGGTGCTGTTCTTCAGAATTGGGAGCGGAACTGAGCAAAGTCGTACGGTCACATTTATGGTGTCAAGGCTACTGCCAACGACAGCCGCAATCTTACCCACGATGAATTTCGTGGGCTTGCTCTGATATCAGATAAGCGAGATTGGTCACAATAAGAACAACAATAATGAAAGTCAAATTACAAATAAAGGTTTTAAAAAGAAAAAGGAAATTTTTCTGTAGAAGATGGAAAGAATATGTTAACAAGTAATTCATAAAGATGGATTTCTTATTCGCTATATTAAGTAAAAAGATAAAGGAAGAAATATATAGGAAGAAAATACATGTAAAATGGAGGAAAAGAAATTAAGATAGAAGAAAGAAGATTAACGAGATTAAATAAAGGAAGATTAAAGGAAAGAGAAGAACGAAGAAAAGAAGAAGAACGAAAGAAAAGAACTTCTTGAAGAAGACGAGGAATAAGTTTAAACGTTTTTTACAGGGCAAATTTCGACATTTTATAAAGAATTACTTACCAAAGATACACTTCATGAAGGACTATAAAGTACTATCTTAAGATTTTTATTTTTATTTATTTTTTTATATGGCACTATATGGCAATGTAAAAACTTTTGATTTATTAATAAATACTAGATAAGGCCGAACGGGGGCAGAACCGATTAACCGTAATGGTAGAGGGATGGTGCCCACGTCCTCCGTTACTACTACTACTACTCTCGAAAGTTGCATAAACTAATAATTTAAAGAATGACGTCAACTTTGAAAATTTTTCAAAAATTCAGGAGTGGAATAAAAATAAAAGTGACTTTGCAGTCACATTTTTAATATATTATTTGACTTTGCAATCAAACGCAGATAAAATCGAGTGGTTATAAGTGATACAAAAGCCAAAAAGATAAGTTAAAAGGAAACAAAATTTAGGTACTGTTCGTACAAGTTCGGATGATTTTTACTATTTGGAATTTAAAATTTCGTTCTGCTGGTAACTATCACCAGAGCTACAAATATGTCTCCTTCACTAGGGCACATTTACTATTGTTCCGTGTGGACGAGCTTGTGATGGATTGAATACACACAGAATCGATGATAGCTTCATAAAATTTATTTTCGGAAAAGAAACATTTTACAATCCTGGAACTTTAAACAAAAGTACTCGTACAGCTCTTTTCAGTATGACAGATCATAATCTGCAGTTACCACTTCAAACTGCTAAGAACGTTAAACACAAGCAATGCCAAGCGCATCGAAAGAGCGAAGCTCGCATGGAGATCTCTCAATACTCCAAAATCAACTCTGAACTAAAAACTAAGAACTGATGCTTTCTGCGATCTATATAGTTTTCCCCCTGCCGTCTAGAAAATTCCAGTACCTTCAATTTCTCAAAATTGCTGGAAGGTATACGCAGTTGCAGTTACATAGTGATACGACAAGCTATAGTTACGCAGGGGCATACTAAAATGTAGTCAAGTTTTGCGACTTTGCGGTTTCTTGCCAAATTTGGTGACAAAAATTAGTCGCCAAAACCATTTCCAGCTTGTCACTTAGCCATTACCTCAGTATTAAATAGGCTTGCTCCCATAACCTTATTTTTCCGGCGAAGCTTCACTCTCTTGAGGGCTTTCTTACATTATGCAAGAGCTATAATTTTACATATATAGAGCTATAATTTTACATATAATTTCATTAAAATTATTTACATCTATACAAAGCTCGTAACTGTATTATAGCCGATACTCGTTATAATACGATCTCTTTATAGCTGCTATTTCATTGCAACGACTAATACAAATTGTTTCCAGCTGATGAAAGTGTATTAAATCCACTTTCTTTAGAGACCACTCGTTATTAGATACCACACTTTTTTGAATGCTAGGAATCGTTACAATGAGGGTCAGATGAAGTTTGCCCCCCCCCCGCTTATTATCTTTTCTTCATCTGTTGCCGTATGTGTACGCAATATTTATATCTCTTTGGATAAAGTTGAGTTGAAGTGAGGAACAAATGGAATCAGGGCTGAAATAGTAATGGATCAGTTAAATTTCAAGAATTTTTTCCCAGCAATTTAATATTAGGTTAGAGAATACCACCTTCTGAGCATCATCAAGCTCTGGTTTCTATAGCCTTAAAATTAGGTTAAATAGACGTCCCACTTTGACCGGAACTATTCGGGTTTGATGTTGTTGTCCCTGCTTCTTTGTCATTTTGTCCTGGTTATTTGATAAATTTTAAAAGAATCAAGTGTACAGGAAGTAAAAACACTTCAGCCTCGAGTAAAACGGCCACTTAACAACTAAAATATCCCCTCTATTACACTCCCTGTTGCCAATCTAATTATTTTGCATGTTGCCAAGCTAATTATTGTGTATCTAGATCTAAGTACTTTTAATGTCTAGATGTTTTTCCTTAAAATCATGACAGATGCCATTCTTACATTGAGGTATGGAAAAAGAGTTTTGGTAGAGCGGAATCTTTTATTTTGATAAACAGCAAGAATTAACATAGTCTGAAATTGAAGCTTCAGGTGAAAAAAAAATTAAATTATCGCAAATAATATAATAAACATGGATCAAATTTTTGGTGACGTAGTGACTGCAAAACGTTTTTTGGTCAGCTAATTATGAAATTTAAAGGAAAAAAATAAATAAAAGTTCTAAAGAAAAACTGATGTAACTTTTCAGTGAACATTTCATTGCTCAATCTTGCTCAAATCAAAGAATACATTTTCAGCATGTCAGCAACATAGCCACCAGTCTAAAGAGTATTTTCAATAATGAACATCATATGGTCTGAGGAAAGAGGTAGAACGGCTGAATGATAGTGTTACGAAATATACAGGTGCGGTGAGATAGCTTCCACGCAAAGCACTTTTAGAGTTGCCATAAAATGGCAAGGAACGGCAGGGTTTTCATTTTGGCGAGAAATCGTCATTTGGCGACAAAATTGGCGATATACCATGGACGATGGGGAACCTTCTGGAATTAATTCTTACCGGTTTAGCACAGAATGTTCTCGAACACCAGCCGAAAGCTATATAAACGCTGCTGGTCCGTAATCAGTTAGTGTGCCTCGTCTAGCGAGCTGATAGTCAGTTATTGAGCGAGTGTCTCGGAAGTTTAGCGCAGAGTTGGTCGTCGAGTACATCAAGAGAGCCTTTTAGTGTATTGCAAGTTAGTGCATCGTCGAGTTTTGTCTTAGAGTGGGCCAAGTCAAGAGCTGTACTCTTGTGTATTGTCGAGTGCATCGCGAGTTGTAGCGTGGAGAGTCTCAAGAGTACGTGGAGTTCCGAGAACGACCGAGCAGAATCAGGAGCTGTACTCTGAAGCTTTGCAGTGAAGCTGTCTAAACCGTTGTAGCCTGATAGTGTGAAGGCTGTGTCGCTGATTGTGTCAACGTGTTTATAGTAGTTTTTCGACGACTGTAAAACGTGATTTTGGAGTTTTTCTGATTAGTATTGGCTGAATAAAGTATGTTTCGATACTTCATCAAGTGTCGTGGTTATTCACTCCAAATCTACGAACTCCGTACGAACGTGAAGGAATGAAGAGCCCCAAATCATCTCTAATTTCTTATAACCCACTGTATCTCATATGAAGCTTCTTTATATACTGAATTATATTACCTTCCAGTTGTTCCCCGGGTGGAGCGGGCAATATGGCTTGAAAACTGAATTATCAAATTACAGAATAATTATTTTTCTAATGTTATAAAAATAACAAAAATGTTGGCAATTTAATAGTTATTTAACTTAACTATTATAGCTTAATCGTGTTCTTTGCTAAAAATAGATACACAGTTCTCATACATTTTGATACATTGAATTAACGTTCTGCTTGTAAGCTTTATATCAAGCAATTTATACTAACCGTAGTTATTGAAAAAAATCTTCTGTTTTCTTCGTTTTAAAAAAA